CTACTTGTGAGTGGACTTTTCTTTCAAAACTTCAGCATGACTTTATTCATGGAAAATATGGCATATTGCTTTATTTTGTTTATTGAATATGGTATATATTCGAATGTGAAATTCGTGGTTTTCATAAAGTTTTGATAATATGTTTGGGTTTTGAGAATACGTACACATATGGTTATGTGTGGGGTACTTGGGAGATTAATATGAGTTTATGTAAAGGTGTGATTATTGATATGTCTGTCTGGAGTGCTTCAAGCACTATCCTATGTACCTCCCTGGATCTGAAACTTGATTACTGATACTAGATACACTTGGAATTATTTGAGTTCAGGACATCCTTGAGGGGATGTTGCTGTGGACCCTGGATTTGGGGTAGTCTGCGCGCGTAGGACTGGTATTTCAGGCGTACAAGCTTTGACTGTGTCGGCTGTACGTGCTGGCTGAGAGTTAGTTCCCCAGTTGGACGGCTCGTTCCCTAGACACATGGTGAATTGAGGAATGACTCCGCCATGTGGACTAGTCAAACAATCCCCCGGTTGGATTGTTTCCCCGGTACAACTAAATTTTGGTTATATTTATATATTATTATTATTATATTTTATATTACTATTATATATATATATATGAATATTCTGTCGTTCTTATTTCTCGGTAAGGATACTTCCTCGCCAGTCGTACCATTGGGTACGTTTTCGAGAGTTTAATCTCTCGGGACTCTTAAGTTTTGAGTGGTGAGTTTTGTGAAGTGTGATTCACGGATTTCGGATTTGGTATCCGGTATTATTTTTAGTATATGTTTATATACTGCTTATGATGGTTTTATCATGCATCTGGATTCGTTGCATGTTTTTATAAAGGTGGGGTTATATTACTTTGATTTAATTGAACTGAACTTAATTTTCGTCCACTCACAATTTTCTGTTTTGCGCCCCCAGCCAGTAGCAACTGAGCTCCACAGTTGAGCCGGACCGGGTGCTCTCGAAACTTGAGTCTTCGTAGGGACTCCTTCACCTTTTCCTTTCAGTTGAACTGTACTTCTGTTGTATTTGAATTTCTTAGATATGCTCTGTATCGCCCGCTGAGAGTATAAATCGCGAGGCCGGAGGCCTTTGTTGTAAACTGTTTTATTGCTCGTAAAGCATGCTGCCAGTTGGTTGTTTATAACTGTAATTTTGAAGAGGTTGAAGTTTGGGAATGTTCATTTTACAGGGGAGACTCTGCCAAATTGTTTTGATAGAAAGTCTCGGTCTTTAGTAAGTGGGCCCGGCATCGAAGTGATGTCGGAATTTAGGCGGGATCCGTCCCGATTTTCGAGGAGATTCGGGGCGGGTCCTGTCACATGATGGTCCCAAGGTGCCCTCGGTGGAATTCTTGGTGACCAAGGAAACCTTGCGCATTACCCAGTATCCCGTCTTGAAAGTATGAGGTTTAACTCGGGAGTATAGTAGTATTTGGCGATACGCTACTTGTAGGCGAAGTTGCACATGTTGGTTTGCTCACGAACTTGTCAATTAAGTCGAGGTTCAGGGCCAACTACTCGTCATTGGGTCGGCATCGTACGCAGAGGTTCAGTAAGATGGTTGGCCAATCTCTATAGGAACAACGGCCTCGGTGCCAAAGGAAAGGGAAAAAGAGGTCTCACCTGTAGATGTATGAAAGGTAGTGTGATAGGACCATAGGACTTCCGGGAGTAGTTCGGGCCAACACCCCTTAGCCCTGTCAAGTTTGGTTTTTAGTGTCTTCTTGATAATTTTGTTCACAACTTCGACTTGGCCATTGGATTGGGACGATCGCGCTGCCTTTGGCAGAGTAACGGTAAAGGTGAGAAAATAGTTACCCTTTTTACTAGGGTATTGTTCCCTATTTATAGGGAAGTGAAAATGGTGGAAATTAAGTGCTTATAAGAATACTGTTTTATGACTACTCTTTTTTTGGTTGAAACTGTTGTATGATAATTAATCACTAATAATTGGTTAGTCTTCTAATTGCATACTAGTTCTTCTAAGTATCACTGATAATTTTTAGTAGATCATGAACTAGACAGTGTTATTTCTATATTCTAATAGATGACTAATTTACTCTGATATATGATCTCCCTTACTAATTTTTGCCTCTTGAGAAAATAAGTTAAGGATGACTTTGCATTGCATTGGACTTGTCATTGTACATTGACTATTGATGTATGATCAAATAACCATGCCCTTGATCCGTTTTCTTGGCGGGTTTTAAAAGATTAAACATCAGCAGAATGTAAAGAATGTGATAGAAACTTACTGTAGTGTGGCTTCTTGCCTAGGTGCATATGATTGTAAATTTGTCAGTGTAATTAGAAGGAATGAAGTTTGTTATTTCCATATTTGTAAGGGGGCGAGTTCATAAGTTCTTATAGAGTGCCCATTTCCCATGCATATCTTCAAACCATTAAATACTGACTTTGATCGCCACAAATCTTTCATTAATGATTAATTTAATGTTTATTGGAGGGAAGGCTAACATGAGTTTGGGCTGGGGTTGAGTTTATCCACAGAATTCACCATTTTACACTGGTCGATTCCCTCAACGTCTCAGTGGTTTAGTTGCCAAAAACCTGTGAAACTGAGTTGAAAACGAAGGATGCAATGGAATAGCATCATCCAATTCAATGGTCATTGTCATATGAACTTACTAAATTGTATTTACTTTATTGTTGGATGAATATTAAACTCAATAGTCGCTATATAGGGTCGCAAGAACAATTGTTTTACAGGACTTTCTAGGAAAGTGAATCAATGACCTAGGTTGCCTAGTTTCAATAGCTTTCCATTCGTTTAGAGGAAACTTTATAGCTTGAAGCAGCATGAACTTGCCACACTCAATCTGAAGATTACCTTGCTTCTGTGAGCATGCAATCTATTTGACCAAAAAGAAAAGAGAGCGAAAAAGAAAAGGACTTCTAAAGCTTATCGCTAGTCATCCGATGGCATGCAATAATAAATCAATTTATTGGAACGTTGAACACATCCCGGAAAATTATATCACCTTTTGGAGGGTGAGAGTGGAACGTTGAACACATCCCGGAAAACTACCGCTTCATTGTTTGTTCCCAAATTATATGTTCATTGTTCCTCCAGTCAATGTTTTCATTGGTTCAATTAATGTTGAAAAGAACGATAGCGGGCGCTGGAATATCGGCCAATGAATCAGAGGACACTAACCAGGCAGTTGTTTTTTTTTGCTACTGGTGTTTTTTTTTAATATGTATATATTTAGGAAAAAATACTAAGTATTGGGACAATATGGCTTTTTTTTTTTTTTGTGGGGCTCACTCAGGCTGGTCATCCAGATCAGTGTACAAAGGGTAAGTGATAGGAAATGTAACTTATCAAACAGTATAGTACTGTTTGATAAGCTAACTGAAAATAGAAATGATCATCAATAACTCAACCGAAAATAGAAGAAAAAGTTAAAGGAATATATTGTCAAATTCGGAGAATTTTGTGGAATGTGAGACCTTATTCCTTATGAGGTGTTTGCTAGAAAGAAAAAAAGAAAGTAAAAACTGTGATGACACTGGGGTTTTGCCCCACTTGGTTTCTCCACGAAGATTTTAACGAAGTCATCATTAACATGTTAGTTCTTATAATATTCCTATGAATTTAATTAAATATATATTTCTGTATAAAAAAATATATATTGCGAGACTCGTCTGTTGATGAAATTAAGGCTAAGGTCTCTCATTTCAAAAGAACTGGTCCCAAAAACGGCATTCAAAACATACTTTACTTTTGATTTTTTCTTTTTAATTAGTACTGAGCTGCTTTGCTTTGTAAGTTCTTCCAGCTTTTGTTATAGTGAAGAGTTTTATTAGTTTATCACTCGTATTGATAAAGTGTTTTATTAGTGTATCAACACCAGTAATATGTTGTTTCTTCTATAGATCAAACACTAATGAAAAAATTAATAAGTTGCATTTTAAGAAGATATTTCAATATTCTTTATAAAAACGATATTATTCTACTTTAATCTAATCTAAACTACGGGAAGGGAGATTTGAACTCAAGTGCAAAGTGGAGGAGCACATCCACTCTAGCCAACTTGGCTAAGCCCACGTCTGAAAGAAAAATATTTCAATTTAAGAGGTCTAATATAATGTTGAAATAATGAGACATGGTAACCACTATTATTGAAAACATAATTATTAATACTTTTTATACATAAGATGCATCATAGTCACATAATGTTTAAATTCTTTTATTGTAATTTTTCATTTCCTTAATACTCGGTGCTTCGAAACAACGTATTAAGAGCATTCACAATGGGCTCCTTAAACCACCTCCTTAGACAAATTTTAGGGAGAAATCGTAAAAATGCAACTCCAACCACACTCCCTATCCACCTCCTAAAATAGGGAGTTCTCTAGGAGCTCCTAAATCTGAGGAGAGAGAAAGGACTCCTAGTGGCTCCCTATAATTTAATGATGCTTTATTTAATGAGTATTTCAAACTTTTATTTAATGCTAATTATTTTTTATTTTATTTTTTAATAGAGATGGACCAATTAAAAAGGAGTTATAGCATTTATGACTCTCCAAATTAGGGAGTATGGTTGGAGTTGAAATTTTTTAGAGAGCTCCTAAAATAGCTTTCTTATATTCTTAGCCAAATTTTAGCTAAGAAATAGAGAGCATCACTGTAGATGCTCTAAGAAAGTACATAATGAGGCCACTTGCATTGGAAGGAAGGATCATTACTCTTGTTGTCCTAGTTGTGTTGGCTCTCATTGCTGTTGTGGTTCCATTCCATTTATCTCTTGAAAATCAACAATTTTATCCCTACATACAAATGAAGTAAAGCAAGCCATGAGAGAAAAACTAAGACAAGAGGGAAAAAACAGCCAAGATTACGCAACTGAAAGTGTTATGAAAATGTAATTTTGTAATTTGATTGATGAATTCCACATAGAACAGATTTTATTGACCTTATATGAAAAGGGTTATCAATAGTACCACTTGCATCCACTAGCTCCTACTTGTTTGTATAAGAGGGGAATTCTGAATCCACCTCAGAAATGGTGACATTGCTTCGGGTCCGGCGGCTAAATCTTGGGTCAAGCTCTTCCAAGTCTCCCTCGTACACCAGACGAGCTGCACACTGCTTCACTATTACTCCATGGCCAACTCTGGCCATAATTGAAAATGTAATCTGACCAAATATACCTTGCCACCACTCTGTGCCAGAAGGCAATTTAACCTGATCGCTGATACCCTTCCACAACTGAGGAAAGTGACGAGGAAAAAAGAGTACCCATAGGTGATCAGACACAGCTTGGCCCAACTCTGCATTGAGAAACACAAATGGACGCCTACGTGCCGTCATCTCCTTTCCATTGATGTCCACTTTGCAAGTAATAATATGTGTATAATTGTAATCAAATCTAGGATACTTAAGAGCATGGTCGCAATTAGGTGATCGTTCCTGGATTGCAAAAGCAATGCACACCGCGAATCCCATCCATTTTTCAGTAAACCAACCTGGACATAGCTGCACACTTAATGGATACTCCACACTTTGAGGATTGAACCACTCCTCCTCATTGTATATATATTCAGCAGATTTATGATTGAACCACTCGGGAATTTCATTTCCAGGAACAACAAATTGAAATACGTCTTGAGTAATAGGGACTTCCTGCATCATAAAAAAAACAACGTCAAAACACTTAAGAAGCCAACATATTATTTAGTGTGTGAATGAGATAGAGAGCGCGAGAGAGACCCCAACGTATTGTTCCAGTAATGTAAATACCAAACTCCTAAAATTGTGCATCTCAGCAAATTTGAAGCAGTTGATACATTGTGCCCGTAACAGCAACTTGCACCTTTCTGTGGAACCTCTGGCAATTCTTTCTAATGAAATACAGTTATCAACAACTGCTATTACTGTTTGTGGAACCTCTGGCAATTCTTGAAGCCTCTCGCAATACTCCAAGTTAAAAAATAGAAGTCTAGAAAGTAGAGAGATGCCGTTGGGTAGGCTAACAAACTGGTTTCTACTGAGATCTAGGTCGGTTAATGAGGACAAGCAGCTAAGGTCATTAGGGACTTCCAAGAGATTGCAATCACTTAGAGTAAGTTTTTTTAAGGAAACCAAACCAGATAGAGAAGGCAGCAACAAAGGCGTGGGAACACGACTTCTTATTAGAAATCGCTGAAAAAGGGAGAGAAATAGCTGAAAAAGGGAGAGCAAATTCCAAAATTTAGGTGATGGTCCTTTACATCCACGAAAGTTTAATACTGTGAGGCTTTTCAACCGAACAATGGAGGAAGGCAGTTGTCTTATGGCAGTTCCACTCACATCAAGCTCCTCCAAACACTCTGCATTGCCCAACTCATTGGGCAACTTTTCGAGCTTTGAGCAGCCAGAGAGATTAAGAACTTTGACAGATTTTAAGCCATACACACTTCTTGGAAGATGCACAAGACTTTTGCAATCCTTCAAGTTTACATGAGTAATTCTTTCAAGCATTCCAAGGGATGGGTCGACCTTATACAATCGTATACAACCTTCCAGAATCAGATACTCAAGATTTGGAAAGCCTCTAAAGTCTGGGGTGTTGACAAGATTCAATGAGTGGCTGAGCTTAATGACTTTCAAATTGTATAAAATCTGTCAAAAGAACACAGAAAAAAAATTGTCTTCAAATTCTATGAAAGGCTGTCAAGTAAGAACACATAAAATAAAAATAAAAATAAAAAAAAGCTTCGATGTTTAAGGGTAATAGAAGATTAAGCAGCAATAAGATACCTTAACACCCGTCCAAAAAGATTCAATGTGACTATGGCACATGTTAAGTTCTAGTAGTTTCTCTGGGTTGAAATGTGACGGGAAATATTTTGAAGGATACCCAGCCCATTCAAGACTTCGTAAATTATCAGAGAGATATTCAAGATCATTAGAGAGGTTCACATTAGCGAGATTGAGAAGTCTCAGTTTCTTCATCCTTGAAAAGCATTTAGCATCCCCGTGCACCACTGGCCCAGTTTTGTCCATGGTTATACTTTCTACTGCATCTGTTCCCTATCAAACATGCACGGATAAAGAATAGTGAAACTCATATATAACTAAAATATGAAAAGAACTAAACTCATTCGTAAACTAAGAGTCCCCTTACTGTAATTTTGCTCAACACATGCTTGGCCTCTTCATGGCACCACAACCTGCTGCGATTTCCTGGCTCATCAAGACACTCTCGATTGACTATTTCACGACCCATCTCTTGGAGCAATCGATGCATCCATAGAGTGCCATATGAATTAGTTAACAGAGATTTCTCAATGATGACATCTATTCCAATACTTGCACAAAAGCCGCAACTGTCTAGGATTTCTATAACTCGATCTTTTTTCTCCCCGTTAAAGAAACATGCAATATCTAGGAAAATTTTCTTCTCCTTGTCATCTAGATCATCGTAACTTATTTGAAGTGTCCCCAAAACTGCATTACAAAGATCCCTTAGTTTACCCAACGCACTGTTCCAAGCAGTTACATGTCTTCCACGCAAAAAACTCCCCAAAACTTTAAGAGCTAGTGGAAGACCATCAGCATAACTCACAACACAGCTAGACAAATCAATATAATTTTTTTCAGGGTGGTCTTTTCCAAATGCTTTCCAACTAAAAAGCTTAAGAGCATCATCATGATTTAGACGTTTGACATGAAATCTTCTCTCCACTCCATGTTCAACTTACAAATGCTCATTTCTAGTTGTAATAAGAACTCTACTCCCAGAGCCAAACCACTCTTGCTTTCCAGCCAAATAATCTAAATGGTCTGAGTTCGTCACATCATCGAGAATGAGAAGAACCTTTTTGTGATGAAGTAATCTTCTAAACATTGTAGATCCGTCATGAACATCAAATATGTCAATCGTTTTCATCGATATCCTTGAAAGAATTTCTCTTTGTTGGGATATTAGACCACCTTTTTGAACATTATCACTGACATTCTCAAGAAATATGCTCAATTCAAATTCAGGAGAGATTCTCTCACGAACAACTCTGGCAATAGTTGTTTTACCAATCCCACCCATACCCCATATCCCTATAAAGCGAACATCATCGACCCCTGCACCTAACAATAAATCAATTGAGTTCATACTTGAGTCTAATCCAACTGAGTTCTCCACAGAAGTGAACGATGTAGGACGTAATCTTTTCCATATCACATCGATTATATCTTTGATGAGCAAGGTTTCGTACCTATAACATATTAACATCAATATCAGTCGTATCTCTAGATTTTAAGAAAGGTTGTCAGATCATATATAAAAGAGTTTTTATCACAAATGTTCCCTGATGTGTGTCAAATTATCACCTTTAATCATTTATGTTTTTTTTTTTTCTGACATTACCAGTTCTTTATGTTACAAATCACACATCAATTTGGTGATGCCATTAAGTTCCGTGAAAATTTCTTTTAAATTAATGACGTGGCATGTATGTAGTGCTCACATATCCAATGAGATAATGCTACATGAAACTAAATAAAAAATATTTTTAAAAATAATAATTTCACATTTAAAATCTAAAAAACATTTTTTTTTTAAGTGGCAGAGCCCCTCGTCTCTCTCCCTCCAATCTATGTCCCCTCTCTCTCCCCCGCTGTGTCTCTCACTCCACCAAAATCCATCTCAATAAAAAAAAATTCCCACATACCCCCCTCATCCTCTCCTGAAGTAATTTGTAATCCAACAAAACACTCCCATTTCCCATCCTCCTCTGTGTTTCTCTCTCTCTCTGCCAGAAACCATTGAAACAATCGCAACCCAAATGAGATTTAAATACAAATATTAAAACCCATCGAAAAACTGTATCTTTTCTTGGAATTTTTGACACAGCTACAAGCAGGAAAAAAAGAGAGAGAAGGTGGGGTTGGGCATAGGTTGCGGGTGGAGATGGGTCGATCGGGTTGTGGGCAAGAAAAAAACCTGAGTTACGGGAGAGAGAGAGAGAGAGAGAGAGAGAGAGAGAGAGGGTAGCAGGGGAGAGAGTGGGGAGAGAGAGGGGGCGGAGTAGAGATGGCAACGGGTCGGATAGGGGCCGGGTATAACAATACCATTCCCGTCCTTGCTCTCCGTTCCCACCCCCGTCCCCAAACCCATCCCCCTTTAATAGGTTTCGGGAATCCCCGTCCCCGTTCTCGTTAGGGAACTATCCCCCATACCCACCCCGAACCCCCAATTTTTTTTTTTTACATAAAAAATATTTATCATACATTTTAACATTAAGTTTCATATTAAATTATCATTCAACACATCCAAATTAAATATAAAGTTGAACTCAAGTATTCAAAATCACATCAATATGAAATTCCAAAGAAGATTAGGAAGAATTAGGAGAGAGAGGTTAACTTAAGTTAAACATAAATATTATAATTATATATTTATTTATTTTATTATAAACATATATATTTTCGGGTCAGGTTCGGCGATGGGGATGAAAATACCATCCCTTCCCCATACCCGTCGGAGATTTTCAAGTTCATAGATCCCTATACCCGATATTCGTTTTCCTTTTGTTTCAGAAATCTCCCCTCGTTAGGCTAGGGGACCCACTCCCATGAGGATTTTTGCCATCCCTAGGGCTGAGAGGAAGAGAGCTTCAACTTAAAAAAACCAATTTTAAATATCTTTTAGATTTTTATGTGAAACTATTTAAAAATAATAATTTTATCTATTTAGATTCACGTGGCATTATCTCATTGGATATGTGGGCCCCATATACATGCCACGTCATCAATTTAATAGTAATTTTGACGGAACCTAACGAAATAGACCAAATTGATATGTGAAGTCAGCAGGTACTGGCTTAATGCTATTTGGACATTTTTTCTTTTTATGCCAAAGTTAAGAAGGGAAAAGGGATAAACTCACACACATGCGTGTACAGTGGTGGCTTGAACCCATAACCATTTGGGATGGCCAATCCAACTAACACCTCATTGTCATCTTATTTGGACACTCTAAATATTTTGACCACATTTAGTTGACCACATTATGTGGTAGCTAATGTTTTTGTGCCATGTCAATTAAAATTAACACATGTGTTAATATCTTTTATTAATTTTAATCTTTTAATTATGAAAAATAATTAATAACATTTTTTTTCTTATAATAATAATTTTATTAAAAAAAAAGGAGTTAATTATGGATATACTTATAGACACGATATCAAGTCTTTGAGAAAGGTGGAGTAACTAATGCATATTTTTTGTTGTCTAAGACATTTTTCATAATTAATATGTATGTGTAATCTTCATGCATTTTCTATTTTTAGTTTTAATAACTAAAGCGAATGAAAAAATACAAATTTATAAATAAACCCAATCCTAGACATGTATTTATAAAAAAACCCAAACACTATTTAAACATAGAAACACACCCAAAATCAACCCCAAAATCAACAATTGTATATTTTTTGGGTGTGTTTATAAATGGGTTTTGAGCGTGTGTAATGATGAGTTTTGGGTGTGTTTATAAAGTGTTTTGGGTGTTGGGTTTTTTTATAATTTCAACCCTCATTTTGGGTGTTTTAGTGAAACTCCCATGAAAAAAAGGCAGAGGTGGAGGTAACTACCACATTGTAAGTCGGTTTTAAATTTTGAATTTTGTTTTAATTTCTTTATTTAACTAGCCTCTCCACACGTGCTTCCGCATCTGCAAGAAGTTTTTTTAAAAAAATTATTTTATTTTAGAATTAAAAAAGATAATAGGTAGTTGTGTTCTATAAAAATAGGATCCATTATCTAATTTTTCTTTTAATTACTATTTTTTTTAATATGAAAAAGTGTGAATTTACCATGTTATCCTCATTTAATTAATAATTTTAATTCTTAATGTTAGTATTAACCAAGGGCATTTTTTGGTATTGTAAATGTTTTACCATTCTCTGCCTTTTGTTATATATATATATATATATATATATATTCTGCCTTTTATATACTAAGCCCCTTTGCTTATGTTTTTTAATTATTTTATTTTATTTTAGAATTAAAAAAGATAATGGATAGTTCTGTTTCATAAAAATAGGACTCATTATCTAATTTTGTTCATAATATTAAATTTTAAAAATAAGATCCATATTATCCTTGTTTTACTAATCCTTTCAATTTTTAATGTTTGAGTTAACGAAAAGCTTATTTTGATATTTTGAATGTTTCACCATTCTCTGCTTTTTGTTTTATATATAGATATAGATATAGATATAGATAAATCATCATATAAAAACACGGCTACTCTTTTCAAACTTTTTAAGAAACTTTCCTTGGAAAATAATAAAAATAAAATGTATACCAGTCCTTAGCCTTCCACCCAGAGAAATCGGACACTTTCGCCAATGCATCTCTCCACTCTTGCACCTTCGTTTTGTCATCCGAACTAAATCTTTCTTCTAGTTGTGAAAAGGCTTTCTCAAAACACCCCGTTTGTTTTCGTACATGAGATGGATCAACATGATAGAAAATTGGTAGAACTGCTTCTCTTGCTTCCATGAATTTAAGAATGTGTAGAAGTTCATCCAAGCACCATGTTGAGGATGCATAATTTTGTGAGAGGACAATAAGCGCAAACCTTGATCCTTCAATCGCAGCAGTCAATTCTCGAGAAATAGCTTTTCCCTTCGAAATTTTAGACTCATCCCTGAAAGTTATGATTCCTTGAGCTCTCAATGTTTCATATAAGTGGTCTGTAAAGCCCTTCCGAGTGTCATCACCTCTAAAACTGAGAAAGACATCATATTTCCATTGAGGTGTTGTAGATGGAGAAAATGTAGATGCTCTTCGTGTGTACATATCGCCACTGGAACGAACTTAATTACTTAGCTGTGGCAATTTCCTGAAGATTGTGATCAAATCCACTGCAAGTAATCCCAAAAGTTTTGAGATAATTTAAGAAGTCCCTTTTTCGACTGCAGAAAATAGTAGAAATGTTAAAATTAATGCAAACTGACCTAGCAAAGTCAGTGAATCCAAAATATCATGATATCGAAGTATGC